AAAAAAAAAAAAAAAAAAAAAAAAAAAACACGTTTGTTCGATTAATCCGGCCAACACAATGAGAATCCGTCGCGATTAATTATACCTCGTGACAAATTGACGATTGCACGCAATGTAAATCCTCACGACTTTAAATACATACGTGTTATAAATTCTACGCCCTTTCCTGGTGTGCTTTGTGTGCTTCTGCATGCGTGTGTACGTATGACACATACACGATCGGGCATACATATAATTGAAGTAAACACATTATCGGCAAAGCTTTTAATCTAGCATGCAACTTGTTGCCTCGAGTCAAACGGCCACCAACAAATACTGGTCGCAAATAATTTTAATGACCGTATTAAAGAATTATGGAGTCGTCGTTGTGACGATGCATTAAGGCAGCCAGAGGTCCTCGAGAACGTTCGGATCGTGGAAAACGTGGAAGCGTTTTGTTATCGGTAGAAATTATGCGCCGAAGGGGCCCCGGCGAGGTTCCCGACAATCCGAATGGTCAATGTTTGTCAAACGGAAACCTAACATTCGCCCAGGTCTAAGACAATAATTTGTCAATTTAAGTAGCTACCAGATTACCAGAGCTTCGAGGGTTCGTTGAGAAATTCTCACGACGCTATCGAGTTTCCCATAATCAAGCGGAGATGAAGAACAGAAGATAAATGTATTGCTAACTAGTTAACAATAATTAGGGCTATTAGCCAGCGGAGTCTAATTTTCTTATATCCCGCTGGAAGAATCACTGCCACTCTTACAGGGCTGTTCTAACTCACCTCGATTCGTTCTTCCTTGAGATCGACCTGAAGCGCGAGTTGTTCTCTCAGTATCACGTCCGGATAATGTGTCTTGTCGAAAGTGGCTTCCAGTTGTTCCAGCTGTTCCTCCGTGAATATCGTCCTATGGCGGCGCTTCCTCTTCGCCATCGGTCCAACCGCCGCTGCGCTCGGATTTATTTGATAGGGATGAGCCGCGTGATAGAAGGCCGGTTGACCATGAAGCGAAACGCCGGCGGCTGCCATTGCTGCCACGTAGCCGCCGGAGTATAAACTAGGATACGCTGCGGCTGAAACGAAACAAAAGAATTTTCCGATGTTAGATTAAATCCATCCCCGTAGCGCCATATTCTCTGAAATAATCTCTCTGCGACAAAATCTCTCTCTCTCTGTCTGTCTCTGTCTGTAACAAAAACGAAGCGAAACGAAAACGAAAGCACCCCGTAGATTAGGAATTAAAAGATGAAGATTAACTAAAATTAAACAGCGTGAAATACATATTCATGTGTGTTCAAAATTGCAATAACGTGTCACAGGAATTCGCAGAAGTTCCTATTCTACGTGGGCGAGGGGGCGAAAAAAATTCTCCAAGACCCCGGTCTCCCAAGGGATGTTTTGGTTTAAAATCTGGAAGAAAGCTGCTTAGAGGCGACGTCTCCGCATAAAAATGTGCGAAGGGCGAATTTATGCTTTCAACCGCGGCGTCGCTCGCGGTTCTCTCTGTTTCTCTCCGTCTCTCTCCGTCCTGGCCGGCTGGCTGGCTGGTTGCATATTCCTCCTCCTCGTTTTTCAATCTTCCGGGGCCGGGATTGCAAGGAGCTAAATCGTTCGTGCGTGATCGAAACGGATTGCGGATTTCAGCTCGCGCATCCCCAATCTGCAGCCGTGGTTCTTGCGGTGGTGAAATACTTAAAGCCCTCGGGGGCATAAAGGAAATTTTCGTTGCGAGAGACGCGTCGGCCCACCCGCAGGATTTACGCCTTCTTTCATTTTTCCGCTACGAAACGCCTTCCCTCGGCGTAATATATGCGGGACCGCGGGGCAAGCTATTTGCGAATTAACGCCACACTCCTTCGCGTGCCGTGTTTCCTCGCGATTATTGTTGAATTTCAACGTCAACGTCCCTCTACAATTGAAGAGAAGGATAAATCACTCGGGCGGCCAAGAGCCTAACGATTAATTCTAATCCTGCGAAATTAATAACTGGAGTAAGCATCGAGGTTAGTATAATCTTGTATTTTTTTTTTTTTTTTGCTAGACTGGTTAATCTTGAAGATTAACTTTGAAACGT